CTCATTTTCAGAATGGTCAGGAAGGTCCACCCTTAAATGCAGCACCACTTCCTCTTGGCCTGGAATTGCCACAGATTTGTAGAATTCTGTTAATTGGGGATGCATTACTAGGATGTTTGGGTTATGCCAGCTCCTGCCTGGCCATCACCCATTTGCCTTGTGTCTTGATAGCCAGGCCCTTGTGAGAGTGGACCTTGCCACTCTTTCCTTGGTCCACTCGTGTCCTATCCGTGGTGTTCAGCTCCACGTCATTCTTCAGGGTAATGCTGAGCTCCACTTCCCGGGTCTGAGATGACTGTGAGGTGATTTTTTTTTCAGCTGTCTCTCCAGAGTGATGGAATGAGCCAGGTGACATGGTCCTTCCTGGTGTTTGGGAACAGTATGGCTTGCCCCTCACAAGCACATAACAGCAAAAATCCATGCCGTGTATAAACCTGAATTAAATGTATAAGAAATCAGGAGGCAGAGTGTTAAGACACTGTGAAATGTTAAGATGTAAAGAGGGAAAACTGATACAAGCTTTTTTCATCTTCAAATCTTAATTTGTTGGCACTTGTATTGAGGAAATTTCAGAAGGCCCTTGCCTGTGTTGCCTTTGTTTTGTTTTATTTTCTCTGAGTAAAATTTAACTTGGAGAAAGAATCTGGGTACTGTGATGAAGTTGCAGAGAAGAAACATGGACTTCGGGAGCATTGAGACAGATCGGCTACTTGCTGACTGTGGGCTCCTGGGCCAGTCACTTGGCTAAACTTCGATGTCCTTATTTATAAAGATGAAGTATCATTACATACGTTGCAGTGTTCTTGTGAGGGTTTGATGTATTTGTAAAGCACCTAACACCATGGAAATTCAATAAATGATAGCTACCTTAAGAAATTTTTCCATACTGGGGACATTAAACCTGACAAATCAATCTGTGTCTTAAAATAGTAGCAGCTGAGTACAAAAGTACTTCAAGAAGAATGTAACTTCGAACACTGAAATGTGAATCCCTTTTGCTCTGAATCAGTCATGTGGAAAATTCAGTGTTTAGGCAACAAGAACATAGAATTTTTTTGGATTTGAACTTCACACAAGTGTAACCTGTTTTAGAGCCACAGATTGCATCACACTCTCCACACAACCATCTTAGAAATGTGAACCATTATTCATGAATGAGGATAGATGAGAAAATACTTGAGTAAAGCTTGTAATTAGTGTGTCTATGAGAAAAAAAAAATCAAAGTGTATGTATCTTATTGATGGCTTAATATTGTCTTTATATTTAAGGCCAGTACATTTACTTAGTAAAGACCCAATGGGAAAAGCAATACTAAGCAATCTTTAAAATTATTTTTTATTATTAGTCTTGTATAAATAATAATATTTTTATAATGAGTTCATCGTTTATGAACAGTAAGCAACTGCTCATTCTGAAGACTCAGTGACATTTACCTGAAGAACAGGTGTGATTCCAATAGTGGAAGCACAGGTTTTCCTGCTCACCCTCAGTTCTTATTTCTGAAATGACTGTTAATGCCTCCTCAAGTATATAGACATGTGAAGCTAGAGGGTGACCAGGCTTTTTTGTCCTTGCCAAAATTTCAGTTGTTTTGGGCTTCTGTCCCTGTATAATCTATCTGGAGAGAAAGGGGGTTGGGAAGGATCTTGGAAAGGAATGTTAACTAAGTTTTTTACTTCCTAACCTAGTTAATCCTGTTGTGCTGGTGTGTTGTAATCAATCCAAATCTCCTGTTCAAGGTTAATAAATGCTTATTGGTTGGAGAAAGATTGTTTATCAGGGTTTGTGACAAGGCTAAGTTTAGGGACAGTAGTCCTGTCTTACCCAGTTTTGCTTTCCACAGTTTGTTACTTACAGTCCACTGTGATTCATTACATGGACAATTCCAGAAGTAAGCGATTAATACATTTTAAATTTCACTCTGTTTTCTGAGTAGTATGATAAAATCTTATACCTTCTTGTTCTAGACGTGACTCAATCATTGGTCCAGTGTATCCTTGTTACATACACCACCCTTCCATTATCAGATAAATTGTTTTGTTCAAGTAACCCTCACATGGTAGCCTAATGCTGGGTCATAATGCCCACATCATTCAGCTACTTCCCACTTACCTTGTAGGCATTGTTTTGCATATCTTCACAAGAAAAGTGAGAACTATACAGTAAGATACTTGAGACAGACCACAATCACCTTTTTATTACAATAAACAAGTATTGTTATTATTGTCCTATTTATTATTAGTCATTGTTTTCAACCTCACACTGTGCCTACTTTATAAGCTAAGCTATACCATAGGTATGCATGAATAGGATAGGAAAGGTCATCATGAGTGTAGCATTCAGTGCTACCCTCAGTTTCCTGCATCCAATGGCCATCTTGAAATGTATCCCCTTTGGAAAAGAGAAGGCTACTGTATTGGACCCCAGGCAGTAACCAAACATTTAGATTCTTTATGTATTCATTGTTCTATTTTTTTTTTTTTTTGACAGGTAGAGTTATAGATAGTGAGAGAGACAAAGATCTTCCTTCCGTTGGTTCACCCCCCAAATGGCCACTACGGCCAGAGCTGCATCGATCCGAAGCCAGGAGCCAGGTGTTACCTCCTGTTCTCCCATGAGGGTGCAGGGGCCCAAGCACCTGGGCCATCCTCCACTGCCTTCCCAGGCCACAGCAGAGAGCTGGACTGGAAGAGGAGCAAGTGGGACTAGAACCCGGCGCCCATATGGGATGCCGCTGCAACAGGCGGCGGATTAACCAAGTGAGCCACAGTGCCAGCTTGTTGTTCTGTATTTTAAGGATGTCTCAGGGACCTAGAGGCTTGACATAGCTAATACAGATAACAAAGACTGGAGTTGTGGTTCCTGGAACTGTTCAGTGTAATATATAGGTTTTAATGATGACTTAATATGTTTTGAAGTAGGCAGAAAGTGAAACTATAAACTCTGTGGTAATATATGTGATGGAAATACGTTTGGCTAAAAAGGAATTGAACTGCGAATACATGTGAATGTGGTAGATGATAGCCTGTGTTCTACATTTGGGTATGTAACTATTGCCTTGATAAAAGAGTCCTGTCTTTGCTGCACGTACATTACCTACTTTGCCACCTGGCGTGGGGAGCACATCTCAGTGAATACTTGCTGACTGAAGAAGTAAATGAATTACTCTGGGTCCAGATGTTGAGAGATAATGAGAGAGAAATAAATTGGGAATGTTTTATTTTCCTTAGTAATTTACTGATTACCCACCCCTATTATAAAGAAAAATGTATATGGAGAGTCCTTGAATTACAGTGTTTTGAAGTAGAAACTGTCCTTTAGATTTTGACTTTGGCTACTTTCCCAGGCTAGCCATCTTAAGTACGATCCTCCCTCCAGATGCTGAGCAGGGGCAGCAGCTACGGCTCCTACGGCTCCTGCAATCACGAAGGGAAACACCTGAGATTCTACAATGCTTCTTGACTCAGGACGGAGTTATGTCCTGATAAAGTCATCATAGGTGAAAGACCTTGAAAAATGCATTCACTACCCTTAACCTACCGAATGTCATAGCTCAGCAATATAGTACTCTGGGGATATCAGTTGTTCCCCTCATGACTGTTGTGCTGCCAGGCTGCATTCCAGTAGAGTATCCTGCATCATATGGTTAGCCCTGGAAAAGCTCAGGAGGCAAACTCTGCTTTTGACAAACTACATACCACTTTTGCACCATTGTAAAGTCATAAACTGAACCATTGAAAGTCGAGGACTGGTTGCACTGTATTGTCAAGCTATGATGCTCTTCAGGTTAGGTGTACTTTAAAAAAAAAAAAACGGATTTAATTTTATTTATTTGAAAGAGTTACAGAGAGAGGTAGAGACAGAGAGAGAGGTCTTCCATCACTGGTTCACTCCCCAAATTGCCGCAACGGCCAGAGCTGTGGTGATCTGAAGTCAGGAGCCAGGAGCTTCCTCCGGATCTCCCATGCAGATGCAGGGGCCCAAGGACTTGGGCCATCCTCTACTACCTTCCCAGGCCATAGCAGAGAGCTGGATCAGAAGAAGAGCAGCCGGGACTAGAACTAGCACCCAGGTTAGCTGTATTAAATGCATCTTATAGTGGGTTTATGGGGATGTAATCCCATTCTAAGTCCAGGAACATCTGTACATACATTCTCACGTTCTACCAGTTTGTCCTTCTAACAATGCCTGTTTGCAGAATTCAGCTCTTAGCATTCTTTCTTTGAACTCAGTCTCAAATTAAGGTGGAACATTTATGAATATTCCATGAATATTATCCAAATAATATTCTTCTAGTTTTCAGAGATCAGATAAATCAAAATGTCCATCTGATAAGAATCCCTACAATGGAATAAGTAGTCTTAGGTTTTATTTTTTGAAGTTGTATGGTCTTTCTTAAAACCACAACTATAAAAACAGAAAAAAACCCTTATATTCAGTTGTCTAAAGCAGTTTCAAAGAAGATCCATTTCATTCCTCTCCTTGTTATTTCTGTAGCTCAGGAAGCATGTACCTGTCCTTTTGGTACCTTTTGGTTTAAGAATAGTGATTCTTAAATAGAGTAATTTAAAACAACATTTAATTAATTTCAGACCTCAGCAGCTAATATCATAAGTTTGTATATATTGGTTGGTTGGTTCAAGTGAATGTGACAGTGAGTCTTCAGTATGTACCAGGATGGGAGGATTTTTAAAATAGAACATGGTTTTATCTTCTGCTTACAAACAATAGGTAATATCAAAAAAGGAGGGAAATTACCATTAATCAGGAAGGATTTTATTTTTTTCAGCTTTAAGTTTCTGTCCTGCATTTCTGCCTAGTCTAAAAAGTCAGGTCTTTGTACTTTGGAGATCAAAATCATTAGTGAGAACAAAATAGTTTAATTGAAAATCTGCTGTAGCTTTTCTTAAAATACCACCTTGAACATAGAATAGAATTTTAAGAGCTGTGTACCTAAGGATAAAAGAGGTGACATATGTTCTTGTTAAATTTATCTAACTGCCTCTTTCACCATCTTTGCTGTGGAGCATTACCCAGTGTTCATTGTCCTCTTGTTATTCAGCCCTGTGTTCCACAGTGAGGGCAATTGATGAGGATATGTGCATTGTGTTATGTCTGATCACAGTTTGACTAGCACGGTCTGGAAGTGGGCTGTACAGAATGAGAGAGAGCAGCCTAATTGCTCTCCCCGCATCAGCAGCATCTATAAAGCATCCTGGGAATTGCTCGCCCGACGTTCAGAGCAGCTGGTCACATGAGCCTGAATTTTCAGTTCAGTTCATTAGTCAGCCATTTTGGTCAACACCCTGCTTACTGCGCACAACCAATCCTATTAGAACTCAGCATCCCGGCTCATCTGAGCAGATCCTAGAAGTGATTTCTGCAGTTCAGGATTTTTTAAAGCTAAATTGAAAACACAGGTTTAATTTTTTGTTCAGGTTTTCTTTTGTGTTTTTTTTTTCCCCTGCACAGAGAAGGAGGATTTTTTTTTTCCACTTCTTCATGCCAAGGCCAGTTTTTTAAAGCCAGCTAAAGCAGCATCGGCTGGGCAGGATTTCAAGGCTGTTGCTGAGCTGCGGAGAAAAGGGTAGGGAGGGGACGATCAAAGGACAAGCAGCTGAGAGAAGACAGGCATCATCGTATTTCGCTATGTGGTAGGAACTGACCATAAGAAGAGATAGTACAGAATTTTCTTGAGCATTTGGTTCTTAAACCAAAAGGTATTTTTCCTTGTTTTTTTGCTTTTTGTTTTTTATAGCCTCCCCCACCCCTTTTCTGGAAAGCTTTGTTTGAGAGCTTTGGGTCGGGGTTTTTTGGTGAGGAGCTCTTATTTATTTTTGTGGGGTGTGTGTGTGTGTGTGTGTGTGTGTTGTGGTCCCAGCTGAGTCATCATGTCTGCTCTGACACCTCCGACCGATATGCCAACCCCCACCACTGACAAGATCACACAGGCTGCCATGGAGACCATCTACCTTTGCAAATTCCGAGTGTCTATGGATGGAGAATGGCTCTGTCTGCGAGAGCTGGATGACATCTCACTTACACCTGACCCAGAGCCTACCCATGAAGGTACGGGTGTCTCACCAGCATCCTCGTTGTTACAGGGGGCTGGGAGGGCCCTGGGGAGGTAGGAAGAACCTACACTCTATAAACTGTGAATGGCCCTGAAACCCTTTCATCCTTACCTACCACTCTGCTCCCTGTCTCACTTACCAGGGAAAAATTATATTTTTCCCTACTCCCTTTCAAAAGATGCTGGTGCCTATTTAGTGTTCTTTGTCTTTAAGCCTCTCATGAGAACATTAGAGGTCACATATCACATCTTATCCTAATCAATAATGAAAAAGCTGTTAATTTTATTCATATATTATAGAAAGTATAGTAATTCTTAAACAGTAATTTAACACAACATGGCTATAAATATAGGATTGTACATTGTACATGATAATATAGTAGAAACGCTTAGAGGGACATAAGTTAAACTTACTGACATCTAGAAAATACTTGATAAAGTATTATTTTTAATAATATGGACTATTAGGTTAGATGAGAAAGCAGATTTACATTCAGCATTTATTTAATAAATAGGGACCTTTGAAAAAAGTGTAATGCCTTGGAAAGGTTATGCATGATTAATATAGTAATCCCTACCCTAGAATCTATGGGCCATTGCTTTTATAAGTTGTTTATGTGACTATTCTGAGCCACTTGAAATTTCTACTGTTAGTGCCTTGGAGACCTTTGAAGTCTTTTGATTGTGCCTTTATCCTAGACTCTTTCCTCATTTATTTTAGCTTCTACCCCTTAATTCTCTTAATACCATAGCAAAAGAGTTGGAGCCATAGCTGTGGATTGTTTGTTTTTATACAGTGACTTCTTAGTGTTTTTTCTTTACCTTTAAAATAATGAAGACGGAAATGCCCATGAGGAGATGTTCTTCAGAAACAGCTGCCTGATAGTGAGGCAGAACTGCAGGGCAGGGAGGGACCTAAGGAGAATCGTAGCAGATGGGGTTGGGGAAAGTGATTTCTTGTCCTTGACCTTGTGTTGCAATCTTATCATGACTCAGATTTCACCCATTTTGTTTGATAAGGATTTTATCTTTCCAGTCAGACTCTAAATTTTGGGGAAGGATGAGATAAGAGAACAAAGCAGTGATGTTGGGTGTGTCTTTAAGATGTTTAAGTGGTTTTTAAAACTCTGCCTCAGTTAGAAGTCCTCCTCAGGCTGTAAGTTTCAGAATATGCACAAAGATTAGAAGACATCAGCTAAAATTCTGTCGAATGCCAGCACTGTTTAAAACAGCCTCTAAAGTTTTAAACATCTTGGAGAAGAAAAATACAGTTTGAGGAGGCTATCAAAAAGTCTTTTAGCAGATGCCTCAGTGAGCGTTTTAAGATTTTTGCCATTCATTTGGAAACATTCACCAAGTTTGAAATATTAAATATGAAATATTCACTTGTAAAATCCAGTTTCTCAGTGTCTGAAAAATAATCTTTAACAATTTTTGTACTTTGAATGTATGTTCGTTTTTAGCATGATTCCTATGAGTAAATAAAAGTAGATTTATTAGTTCATGTAAGCACTTGGAGCGGTGCTGTTTGAATCCTTCATGCAGAAATATTGCCACAGTTTTTGAGAGCTACAACCTAAGTGCTAAGTGATTAAGGAATCCAACACATAGGAAGTTTTGTAAACCTTTAATCAACCCTAGATGATGTGGAAGAAAGTAGAGAAATGCTGACAGTGAGTTTGGGAATTTCCCCTTAAATTGGGCAAGGTTAGAAATGAAAATAATGAGAGAAAGCATAGGTCTTTGGAAGCATTTATGGGCAGGTGTAATGATCTGAGAAACCAGGTGGTACTTCATGGGGCTTTTATCTCCTTGTCTACTGGCTAATTCCCCTGATCTCTACATAGTCCTTTGGACCTAAGAAATGCCTGCTTTAATGTTAACACCAGTGACTATTGTTAGATTTAATTTAGCTACATGCATTTAAGTAGTATTCACCAAGACAATGATTATGTGACTCTGAACTCGGAATTGCTGGTGCTAGACACTTAGAATCCAGTCTACTTCTGGCTGATTCACAGTAGAAGACATCTGACCACATAAATCTTGCAGTAGACTCCTGACTCTCACTGAAGAAAATGGACAAAAAAATCATAATGTCCCTTCTTTAAAAAACAAAAGTAAGATTTATTTATTTGAAAGGCAGAGCTACAGAGAAAGAGAGGGAAGAGAGAGAGCTCTTCCATCCTCTGGTTCACTCCCCAAATGGCTGGCAGGGCCAGAGCTGGGCCAGCTGAAGTTAGGAGCCTGGAACTCCATCCGGAATCTCCCAAGTGGGTAGCAGGGACCCGGGTACTTGGGCCACCTTCCACTGCTTTCCTAGGCACATTAGCATGGAGGTGGGTTGGAAGTGGAGCATTTGGGCTGTGAATGGACATTCAAATGGGATGCTGGCATTCTAGACAGTGTCACAAGTGGCAGCTTAACCCACTGCACCACAGCACCAGCCCTATAATGTACTTTCATCGTAGTACAGACTGCTTGTGTTTTACTTCTGCAGCAGAAGCTTTGGAGTTTCCAAATTTAGCTTTCAGAAAAATTCCCATCCTTCACTGTGCAGCCCACAGTGTAAGCCTGCACCCCAAGGTTCTGCCTCCATAATCCTTAAATACATGAGGGTAAGAACACGCACTTCATTCCCTCAGTGCTTATTGGTGGTCAGTGAGGTGATTGCGCTCTCGCGCGCTCTCTCTCTCTCTCTCTCTCTCTCAAAACCAGGAATGTTATCTACAACTTTTCTTACAAATAGTGTTTCTGTAAAGATAATTACCTAGAATTGATTCCACAGAGGGCAAAGTGATCAGGAGAGGCTTCCTGGAGGGGACCTTGGGCTGGAGAGATTTCTAGGTGATCAGCAAGCAGACACGGACAAGAGCATTGCAGATAATGTAGTGAGTTGGCGAAGATAGAGAATAGCAAGCAGTTAGGAGAATAAACTGCATGTGGTTGTCACAATGAGGTGCAAGGCTGGAAAGCTAAATAGGCTAGATTGGAAAAGTTTCCTCCTAATCCTGAGGACTCTGGACTTGATTCTATAATGAAAAACCACTGCTAGTGCATTATGTCTTAGAGTACCATGAAGTAAGGTTTCTATTGCGAAAGGATCACTCTGGCAGCAATATAGTGGATGTAAGCTCTCCAGGGACCCCCTAACCATTACTATTAAAATAGTCCGGGTCAGAGAAGGCAATTCCAAACTGAGGGGGTGAGAGCGAACATGAAGGGATAGCAAAGTAGAGTGTAGTGATGGTGAGTGGCTGTGGCCTGGAGGATGAAGGTGAGGCAATGCTTAGGACCCTGAAGTTTCTGGCTTCAGGTCCTGCGTCTCCCGTACCCTTAGGGAAGGTAGAGGAAGAGGACATTTGAGTCCCTAATGGTAATCACTGTCAGTTTAGCCCTCCAACCACCACCACAGAAGTGTGAATCAAGTTACACTTTTCCAGATTATGTGCTCTGGTTTTATCCTCTACCTCAGCTTCCTTTAGTAGTTAGAATCCTTGCACTTGAGGGGCAAGGTAGAGGGAAGGAAAATGAAACTTGAATGGACATTTAGTGATTTGACACTGTTACAAAATCAACAGCAGAAGCCTTGATTATATAAAATTCACTTTGCATTTTCCTGGCTTAAGAAAATATGTGCCATCATTGAAAGGACCTTTTAGAGACGTTGTTTGAATTTTTTGTTGGTTTTTGAAGGAAAGTAGAATTTCACAGTAAAGCACCACGGACTTTATATGTGCCCTTGTCTTCCCAAGAAGGGAAGCTCAACTCCTCAGGGATTCCTTGAGACATTCCTGTAGTGATTTCAGAAATGACACCAGGGCCAGTGTTGTGGCGTAGCAGGTTAAGCTTCTGCCTGTGACACCTGCATCCCATATGGGCACTGGTTCAAGTCCCAGCTGTTCCATTTCCCACCCAGCTCTCTGCTAATGCATTTGGGAAAGCAGTGAGGATGGCCCCAGTACTTGGGCCCCCTGCACTCATTTGGCAAATTTGCATGCTTTTCTCATGTTAATCTCTTTTACTTCAGTTTAATTCTTTTTTTAGATTTATTTTATTTATTTGAAAGACAGAGTTACAGAGAGACATAGAGACAGAGAGAGAGGTCTTCCATCCAGTGGTTCACTCCCCAAATGGCTGCAACAGCCAGGGCTGTGTTGATTCAAAGCCAGGAGCTTCTTCCGGGTCTTCCATGTGGCAGCAGAGGCCCAATGACTTGGCCCATCTTCCACTGCCTTCCCAGGCCATAGCAGAGAGCTGGGTTGGAAGTGGAGCAGCCGGGACTAGAACCAGTGCCACATGGATGCCGGCGCCTCAGGCCCGGGCTTTAACCCGCTGTACCACCCCTGCACCTATTTGGGAGACCAGGAAGAAGCTCCTGGCTCCTGGCCCAGCTCTGGCCCTTGCGGCCATTTGCATGTGAATTTCCTAGAGCAGCAATCACAAAACAATTATTTATAATTCCAAGATAAGGAAAACAGTAAGAAGTTTGATTTCGTTTTCCCCCCAGAAATTCCTCAGTATACCTTGTGTGTATACACAAGTACGTGAAGAACAGGCTTTAGAGGTACCTTAAGTATCATCAGGTGTTTAAACAACAAATTCAACTATAGATGTTACTCAGTTTATAATAAGCTTACTTAATTAGCAGTTTGTATGTTGAAAAAAATCTTTGGCACTTTAACAAGACTCTTTAAAGAAGCAAATCCTGAGCTTTTCATATTTTGTTTCTTATGTGGCTGAAAAGATAGCGGTGGTGCAGTTTTTTGTTTTTTTTTTGTTTGTTTGTTTGTTTGTTTTTTGACAGGCAGAGTGGACAGAGAGAGAGACTGAGAGAAAGGTCTTCCTTTGCCGTTGGTTCACCCTCCAATGGCTGCCGCGGCTGGCGCCCCGCACTGATCCGAAGCCAGGAGCCAGGTGTTTCTCCTGGTCTCCCATGGCGTGCAGGGCCCAAGCACCTGGGCCATCCTCCATTGCACTCCCGGGCCACAGCAGA